TCCTTTTTTGCTTCCCAATATTTTTCTTTCTTTTTTCGATCCCTTGTTTCTTTTTTCTCCGCATTTTCTCTTTGTCCTTCTCTCTATTCCCTTCTCCTTCACTGTTTTCTTTTTCTTTTTTTCTTCCCTTTTTTTTTGTCTTTTCTCTGTTTCTCCTTCTGTTCCTTTTTTTTCCCTCCTTTCTTTCCCTTTCTTTTCTTTTGTTTTACTGATATTGTGCTGATTTACCTATGTCCATTCTTAACAAATCAAGTAATTAGTGACTTTTTAGACAAAAACAAATTAATATACAAAACTGCAAAGAGTTAGAATCTTACTTTTTCTACCTTTGATGGACGGTCGGTATCCATTGAAATCTGCACCCTCTATTCATTTTTCAGATATTCTTCCAAACAACATTTATTCTTACTTCCTTTTTTGGCCCTTATTCGGGTTAGTATTCTTTATTTGCAAATAGGGCCTTTCAAGCAAGCAAAAACGTCAACGAATTTATTGCTTCTTCTATAAATGATGACCAAACTTTATACATAACTTTTTTCTTTTAATTACGTTGTACTTTTAGTAAATGCTATCAATGAAATAACAACAATAGGAGAAAAAAAGGCACAAATCAAGACAAAAATTATCTTCTATCAGCTATGTTTGAGGAGTAAACTGAAAAAAACGCCAAATAATACAAAACAGCGTTTTCTTCTGACACCTTATATTTACATAATTAAACTTGTTCACTTTTTTGGGTCAACATACAGGCACAGAACAGTCGGCAGATATAAGAGAATAGTTTTCACTTCTCAGTTAGCTTTGCAGCATACAGCTACCTTTCTGCAAATTGATCATTTTCCCAGTTTGATATTCAATTTTTTGTTCTCAACATACCATACTAAAACCTCTTCGCTTAGTAAAGACAATATTTTCAAAAAAAAATTTTCTGCTTTTTCTCTTTTCCTTATTTTAATTTTACCTCAGTTTACTCTTTTTTCGTCATCATCAGTTCTTAATGTTTCAAAAAAAA